TTTAGGGAATACCAACTTGTTTGACTAAGGAGCATCCTTGTGGAGCTATAGAACAAGCAGTTTGAAGTAAGAGGCCGCAGCTCAGGAAGGAAATGAGGGCTGCAGAAACAGGTTTGAGAATCATTTTCTTACAGCTGATAGTTAAAACCACAAAATCTGTCAAGGGAGAGTGTGGGAAGCGAAGGATATTTTCTATATGCCAGCTTCCCCCTTGCCAAATATTTAGAGGGAATGGACAAACAGAAGTGGAACAAATTATACAATAAGAATCAGAATTTTAGTATCTTGGAAACCAGAGTTAGAGGAAATCTCAACAAAGAGACTTTAAAAAGAGGGGATGAGGAAATGATCAGTAGCAGTGACTCTTCAGGAAATCTGAGGACAGTAAGGAAGGAGAAAAGGTAATTGGTCATTAATGAAGTGTAAGGGGAAGTAAACTAATGTTCTCTCTATGTAGTTGTCAGTGCCTGTGGAGGGAGGCACACCACTACAAGCTTTCTAATTCTAAATGTTGTACTGTGTAAGGATTGTATGTAGTTTCATTTTATTCCAGCCAGTGCCAAAAGGAGGAAGCAGTGTTAGTTCTTGCCATTTATTCAAGATCTACCGAACATCAGGCATTGTACTTAGCACTGACATAATCCTGAATAACCCTGCAGTTATATTCCTCCTTTATATAGGTACTGTCTCTCTAAGAGGTTAAGTAACTTGCTGTCATTCTAAAGCCACTAAGCAATGTAGTTGGCAGTGAAACCCAATGAGGCTGGCTCTGAAGACACTCAAAATTGGAAGCCATTGCCATTACACACCAAGGTACCTTGTCCTTTGGTGCTCTGACTTCCTGGTCACACCTCTGTCTACTTTGAGGAGTTCAGCACCCTTCTAACCATGTTCCCACCAAAACAAGCTCCAAGAAAGGTCTGAAATTGACAGTATGTGACATTTTAGAAAGTATTTGGTTTGCAGTCTAAACACTACAATCAAACCTTGGCTATGTAATTTCATATCTGTGTGATTTTTAGGCAAGTCATTTACTCAAAAGTTATTTATTCTTTTAACTTCAGTTTCTCAAGATGCAAAATGTATTTGAAAGTGGTTTTAAATCATCGAGTGCAATGAAAATGTAGATGTGATCTTTAGTGTGAATTTAAGTTAATATGTTACTTTCTATAGAGTTCTTATCATTTGGGGAATTTAAATTATAAACATTCTACTTAATTCACTGAATATCCTTTGCATATGAGGGTTTTCTGGAGTATTATAGGTGTTAAGTCCTGGAGAAACTCAGGAGGTAGTCTTTTGTTTCTTGGAAAAAAAAATTCCAACAGTAAGTACCAGGAAAGATATTTTGCTGGTAGAGCAGAAATACCATTTTCTGTATATCTAAAATAACAAGATGAAAGAAATAATTTTGTTCCTAGGGATGAAGAGAATTGGTGATACGAAACAAAGTATCAATAATCTTTGAAATGCAGTTTTGGCGTTTGAAAGCTTCAATCCATCATTTTGGTTTCCATCTGTAGTACATTTAGCAAAGGGGAGCATTGTGTTCAGCCTCATATTCTTCTCTGAGTCATAGCCTAACTTTGGTCAATGGACTGATTCCCAATTTCCAGATAGAGAATAAAATGTTTTATGTCCAAAAGAGAATATATTGTCACAAATAAGTGAAGATTATAAAGTGTCATGAGCTTTGGGAATGAAATTTGCTATGAAATGGTTTTCTTGGGCCTTCTATACTATTGTGATTACTCAGTCACAAGCGTCATTCTTTCAGGGACTAAAAAGGAAGCTCATTTTAAAAAGTAATAAAATAGATAACAAACAAATAAACAGAGCAAGTATCAGGAAATACTAGCCTGAATATGAAAAGCATAAATTGAAAAATGTAAAATTAGATTAAACCATTGGCCACCTTTAACCCTGCCCTTGCGGGTATACATGGGGTATTATACACAATTTGTGGTTTCAACCTTTGTGAACAGCAGAAAGCTTAGAAACTTAACATTCTGATTAGAGTACTTACAAGATCCTGCACATTCCATTGTTCCTAGAAGTGTGATTGTTAAGGGGCTGAGTGTCTCCGGTCAATCATCAGTCTTACAGGTATAGATAGCCAATAAGAAATTCAGTAGACCCATCCAAAAGAAATATATTAATAGAAATTGCTTTGTCTGTTTTCATAGTAAGCTTTTAAAAAGGAGTGTGCACTTTGGAGTTATTTGTGAGTTGGGTACTTGGGCTAAGATTTTCTACATATTCATTGCAATACAATGTTAAAAGCAATAAAAAATATGTAGTTTTTTCCCCACCAGGTCATTTGAATCGCTATATGCTGTACCTTCCTAGAGCTGAAGGTTGTTTTGTCCCAGTGATAGGTGGTTGATGAATAGAATCAAGCAACTTGAGAATGGGACTAGAGATAAAACTAGCGAGAGCCCTTGATCTCAGAACTCAGAACTCAGCCATGCTTGGCAAGAAGGCTCAATTCCCCACAGCTTTACGATCTGTTTGGCATAATTCCACTTTTTTATTTTTAAAATTGTTCCCATCTTTGAAAACACTTTAAAAAATAAAGAAGTCCCCATTCTGTCTCCTATTTCCACTTCCCAACACATGCATCTGTAATTACCTGATTTGGTCTGTGTGTTTAATCATCTTAAATTGAGAAGGTTGCCTAAATTAGATTTCAATCTGAAGGCAGCATTGCATACTGGGAAGTTACCACTGTGGTGTCTGCCAAAATGTTCCTCTGCCAGAGAAAGAATAGACTCACACCAGGGTATTTCCTAAAGCCACTTGACTCAGATTACATATTTAATTTTCTTAAAATATTATTTTGGATCTCAGTCTCTGTGCTCTAATTGGGATTTTCTCATGTAATCTAGTCATTTCACTTATTTGCTGAGTTTGTTCCAGGATCCAGCTGGCATTATTCTAAATGGCTAAACCTTAAGGAAGTAAACTTCACTCTGAGTGCCATGTTATACCTCACTATGAAGAATGGGCCAGACCTACATTTGTTCACATCTTTGTGAGGTCATTTGTATATACAATGCAACTGAATTAAATTTGAGAGAGAAGAGCTTCTAGTTATGGCAGTGAAGCCTCAGATCAGAAGTACACACCTTTTGAGTTATTTTCTCAGTTAAATTAAAATAGAAAAAAAACAATTGTTCTAGTACTGATTATTAAATTAAATTTTATTTTTATTTATGACATTAACAGATTTCCTCAGCTATGTTCACTTGAAATACCTCCCATTGACCAGATTTTGAGAGCTTAAGGGTTTTTGTTTGTTCGTTTGTTTGTTTCCCCTTTCTTGAGCCATAATTTCTGAATGGTAAAGAAATAAGAACATAGAGCTGAACTCCTTTAAAAGTTTTAAACCAGAATTCTTGGGTTTACAGGCTTCCAGTTCTGAGAACTCTAAGAGCCTCTTTATATTTTAGCAAAGTTAGGACGACTGCTAAAAATCCCTTTGCCTGCTTTGCACAATGGTAAAGCCATACATATCTGGGTGATGGGCTGGCATTTCACCGCAATATTTTTAGTAGGCTCATGAGCCTTCCTTAAGCCACACAATCAGCATGCTGAAAGTCAAATGCAGGGAACACAATGGAGAGATTTTTAATATTCATTTATATCAGGGCTTTAAAAAGTGTAATTTAATTGTGACACAACCATCACACACATATAGTCAGCTGGATGGAGTTACCAGATTATAATCAGAAGTTTGTTTTGCAAGAGAATAATCAAAACCAAGGAAGATAAAGAATTAAAAAATATATATATATTTGCACAAAGCTAAGATCACTTGATATAGCATTTCACAGTAAGGAACTACTTTACAATTAAAGTTGGCTTCCTGAGGTTCCACCTCCTCCTGGAAGGGCCTCTGAAGGCACTGTCACCTTTAGTCTCAATTCATCTCCCCTTCCTGCTCTAGGATCTATCCCATACATGTGATCTTCTGTCTCTAATATGTTGTGCTCTGATTCATGATGTATTTATTTCAAAGTTTATATCTCAGAGGCAACCTCCTTTGGGCTTTGCTCACCGCTTGGACTAGACATTGGCAGTGGGCTTGGTAGAGTCTAAGTTTTTAGTTCCCCTTTTCAGAGTGCCCAGAGTTGCTGAAGTGCACATGAGCTACAAAGGAACTCCATCAGCTAGAATGCATCATGTGCAAATAAAACCCTTATTATTTACCCAGTATTAGTATTTCTAGATTTTCAAAGCCAAATTTTGTATAGTGAGATTTATTCATTTTATACATATTTATTGAGCACATGCTATATATCAGGCACTGTTCTAGTGCTTAAAGTATATCAGAGAATAAACAAACCAAAGACCCTGCCCTCCCGGTGGTTAGTCAAGGGGATTATTTGAGTTCGCATATTAGGTGCCCTGAATAACTAACAGATTGCAGTAGGAAGAAAGAACTAAATGCATAGAGAGGTTAAAATGTCTTGCCTCACTCTCTAGTTTGTGATGGAGCAGGGAATAGAATCTTCTATCTCCTTTATTATGTTTCTCTGATTCTAAGTTAGGGTTTTTGTAGTTCCTTTGTAATTTCTGTTAGTATCTAGAAGGAAGAAACTTCTGCCCAGATTGATATGTTTGTGTCTGACCACGGTGGTGTTAGAAGGGAAAAAATTTAGATATAGCAAATGTTAGTATAGGTGAACAAAGAATTTAGACGTGAAGAGAACCAAACCTTAAAGGATTTTTATAGTAAAAACAGAAAGGAAAAAAAAAGCCAGTTTGTTAGATACCATAATAGTTGTTAGCAGAAAAGTTTGGGCAGTTATCACACTAAAACCTGCATCTTCTTTGTGTTTAGTGTTCACGCAGACACACACATACACCTGGATTTTTTTTAATTTTTACTACACAGTTTTTGACAGTAAGGTGGCAGTACAGCCTAGGCCATCTTCAGCCTTTGGCCTGAACAATGTATTAATTGAGATTTCACTTTCTTCTGCCTTCTCCTTTAGAGTTGCTGGAATTGTGGTCGTAAAGCAAGTGAAACCTGCAGTGGCTGTAACACAGCCCGATACTGTGGCTCATTTTGCCAACACAAAGACTGGGAGAAGCACCACCACATCTGTGGACAGACGCTGCAGGCCCAGCAGCAAGGGGACACGCCTGCGGTCAGCTCTTCTGTCACGCCCAACAGTGGGGCTGGGAGCCCGATGGACACACCACCAGCAGCCACCCCGAGGTCTACTACTCCGGGGACCCCTTCTACCATAGAGACAACCCCTCGCTAGATGTGAACTCAGAACTGTCGGAGGAAAGACAGCACAACCAACATGAAATTAATTCCTCACCCTCAGATGCTCAGTTGTTTTTTTGTTTGTGTGTTTATAGATGAACTATCCTATTTCAGTACTTCAGCAAGAGATAACCTAACCGTATCTTGAGGCGGTAGTAAAACAGAGGGCCAGTAACGGGTCATAATGACTTATTGTGGATAACAAAGATATCTTTTCCTTAAAGAACTGAAAAGAGAGCAGAGAATATAACATGAAATGATAGATTTGACCTCCTCCCTGTTATTTTCCAGTAGCTGGGATTTTAAACTAGATGACCTCATTAACCGATGCTTTACCAAACAGCAAACCAAGAGATTGCTAATTGCTGTTGAAAGCAAAATGCTAATATTAAAAGTCACAATGTTCCTGATATACAATAATGGAAAAAAAAAAAAAGAGGAAATCCCTCAAGGGCATGACCATTGGCTACAGTAGTAGACATTTTAACAAGAAGATGAATGGCATCCATGGGTTGCTAACTGAACTTTGAAGACCCACTACAAATACGCAAATGTGTAGCATATTGGAAGGAGAAACAGATGTTTGGGGTTTTTTTTCCTGTTTCTAAAAAGAAATAATATCCAGGTCAACAGAATGAAAAATGAAAGAATGTTTGCACTGGGATGTATGAATATAGTAGCAAGAAAAAAAATGCCATAAATGGAAGGCTCCTTTACACACACACACACACACGCACACGCACACGCACACGCACACGCACTCACACACGCACGCACACACACGTCTGTTAAGAGACTCAGCCTGCAGTTAATTAGCATTCTGGCAGCTCTGACATCAGCCAGCTGCCCTAAATAGCCCTTCAACGTTTCTTCATTTTTGTAAGGTTCCACAGAGTAAGACATTGGGTCTATTCCAGCTCATTTTATATTGAAAAATAATTTTTAAAAAATGGTGGCTTCAGCTCCAGCCCCTTTCCAAATTTTTTCAATCCCACCCTGTTTGGATTTTTAATTAAAAACTAGTAGTTCTCTTGGTGTTAAAACACTTCTGTCCTTGTGAGGTTTCCAATGGTGTTTTTCTTGTAAATGTGTTGGACAAATGTGAAGATGCATTGTAGTTTAACCATATGCCCACATTTAGTCTCTTTATTCCTAGTTGGTGAGAAACCTGTATCTTTCTATGCTGCTTTTATATCTGTATGTATTAATGATATTTCTCTAGTAGTTCAGAAAAAAAAAAAAAAGAAAAAAAAGACTTTTTTGGTTGTCCTCAAGAAAAGAAGAAAAAAGTTATCTTTCGGAGCTGCTATTTCACTCTAAGATTTTTTTTCCCCCCTAAAAACCAGCATGCTTCATGGAATGCTAACATATTGGTGTTTTTGTAAGAGGGAATGTACATAAATGTATTTTGCACTGTCACAATGACTCCCTAGGCATGCTTTTTTTTTTTTTTTAAGCAAACTTCTTGAATATGCTAGAGCCATTTCACCAAGTTCAGCTGTAGCATAGAGTAGTAGTGGAATATTTCTTTTTTCTTTTTTTGGAAAAATCATTATTTGGGACTTTTTTAAAAAAGTAACAAGATATCCTACTTTTAAAAAAGACAGTGCATGCATAATCCTGTAAAGTTGTTTAAGTATTTCTAATTTTACAAAAAAAAAAAGATAAATCATTAGAGCTCCAAATGCTGAGGTGTAGACTGACAGCTTTAACACTGCTGAATGCCAGGTTATACAGTATTCTTACAAAAAGGGAAGTCAGCCAAAGACTGATCTGATGGACCAAAATCAGAATTTTGCAAAGCACCAGAACTACTTTCCAAATGATCAGCAGGTTAAACATTTTCAGCAAGGTATAGTGTGAATTCATTAACCCTTCATTGTCCAGGGTCCAGACCAGACTTACTTGTTAGTTTTGAAAAATAGTAGCCCAGGAAGTGGTGGTGTGCTTTAGGGAAAGTCAGCAGAGCTGCAGGCTGTGTAGACAACCAAAGTTTTCGAGGCTGGGAAGACACTTCTCCACATACACACACACATCAGGCATTTATTTAAAAATCTAAAATTAACCATTAACTTTTTTTTGTTTTAATGTAGCCCTTGGATACAGTTTTAAATGGCTTTTAAGTATCTGCACAGAGGCAATCATAAATCTGTTTGTTTTAAGTCTCATAGACCTAACATTTTTAGCATTTTCCCCTTGTGTTTTCATATCTAAGTTGGTTTTAATTTTGTTTGGGTACTGTTATGTTTCTCAAATGGCTTTTTAATTTAGAAAGTTCTGATGAGCAAATAAATACATCTATCTGCATGTTGGAAGTCCCTCTGCCAGCACACCTGCTTAAAGTGAAGAGAAAGCGCATAACCAGGCTCTGAATGGGTTATATTTTATCATGGTGCTCCCAGAATCCTTTGACCTCACTCTGCTTTCTAGTCTGCTTGTGACACTGGACAGTCCTTTCTTACAGAGCTATTATATGTTCTAGGCTACGAAGGGTTAAGTAATCCCAAAAATGAGGTATGTCATACCCACACATCTTTATCTAGAAGCTGTGATGTATGTGAAACAGCACTGTTATTCTTAACACTAGTGTGTAAAATAAGGATTAGTACAGTACGTCTCATTACTTTTAATTCAGGGCACCCTGAGTGAAAACAAATACAAAAAAAAAAAAAAAATTCCCTAACTCTGAGCTCTATCTCTGATTCCTCTTCCTCCTTTCCCTCTTCCTCCTCTTCCTCTCCTCCTGTTTTGCTACATTCTCCTCAGTGGCAAAAAGTTTCACTCTACCTCTGACAGCATGTATATTGCACCAGTAGCTAACAAAAACTGGTCTAGTCAAACCAAATGGGCACAAAAGAACCAGGATACCAAAAGTTAAGCTCATACAGCTGCAAACCATATCACTTCTTGGTAACAATGCAGACCTCATAACCTAAAGAAGAAAAAGAAAAGAAAACTTTTGTTACTTTCCTTTTTTGCTTGTCACTTATGTACAGGCTATGTGAGAGTATAATTTGTAGGTATAACACATTTTTAAAAAACTTATCTTCATTGGATAGAACTGAATGGTGGTCGCTGATAGGAATAGGGCGTCCTCTATCTCTTATCTCTGTCTCTGACTCTTTTTCTTTTCTCTGTCATGAGACTGTGTGTGACAGGGCTACCTGTCTTTTAAATTTTTTTCCTAACTTTTTTTTTGTGTAGGTGCATGTCTTGGGGATTTAAAAAT